CTGAGTGTGTCTGTGTATGACATCTGACGGATACGGAGAGGGTATTGCCGCCTCTAGCCCTGACCCACCTTTTCTCTTGTTGAGATACCCAGGGCCCAGGCCTTGACTGCATGGCTGTGCTGGGGGCGGGGCCACAGAAGTCACCGAGGGTCGCGAGACCCCCTACTGCTCGGCTGCCTGGTCCTCTCCTCCCGCTTCTGGCTGAGTTTTGCTCTTTGCCCTCCTCGCACGCGTGCTCTCAGCCACGCTGGGGCGGAGGGAGGCTCGGATGGGCTAGCCCTGCGTTGGGTGCCTCACCTGGGTGGAACACCTTGAAGGTGGCGGAGACGCGAGGAGCAATTGGACCACCAAGAACTGTTCCTCCAACCACTTTCCTCCTCTAACATCTGCCTCGCCCGGTGGGACACCGCTGGGGTGATTAAAAACCTCACGCCTCCTCCCCTTCTTGCGCTCCACTGTGGCAAAGGCTTAAGTCCAGGGCTGTGGACCCGAAAGCACATTCTGAGGGGACATGGATCACTGCTGCGCAAGAAGCGAATGGGTCCGGTACCAAACCAAAGCAGTTACAATGCTCTGCGGCTGAGAGGCGGTGGGATTGTGTGCGGGCGGGCGCGTATGCGTGGAGGGGTGAGGAAGAGGCTAAGTTTCTTGCCCTCTGAACCTCGGCTTTCTCATTTACAAGCTGAGGGAGAATAATACCCACTTTACAGTGTGATGCCCGGATAAAAACTGCAGCGCCTGTAAAGTGCAGAGGGTGACTGCGTTATTGCACCAGCGCTCTGCCAGCACGCACACAGTTCATTGTAACGAGGAGGTGCATTAGTGAAAGTCCCGGGTAAACCCATTTATATTCTAAATCCGACTTGTAAGGGGAACCCCTATGGGAAGGAATGCCCGGAGGCTGAGGAACAGATCGCATACTGGATTTGAGCCCAGAGCCCGGGATGGCCTGTTGCTCTGGTGGCCCCGGCTCCGGATCTGCGACAGGGTCCAGTGCCCCGCCCTTTCTGGTGATTCCCTGGGAACTCGGGAGCGGAACGCGGTTTGGCAGACAACCAGCCCTCGCTCACTTTGCAAATGGCACTTTCTATCCTCTGGTTACAAGGCAGGAGGGAGGCCAGGGCCAGCGTGCGCACGCCGTCCGGGGTTCGGCAGCGGCGCAGGGGCTTGGAGATCTAACCCCGCAGGCCAGGCGGGTGCAAGCTGGAGTCGGGAAGGATGTGCCGCTGCGGCCACTCCGCGCTTGGCTAGCGGGCGCTCCAGCTCTTCGCCTGGCTGGGGCTGTGAGAATTTGGCGACGGTGCCTGCGTGGCGTCTGGCCCTGGCCCCGCCCCGGCCCTGGGGACGCCCCGCCCCTGACAGGCGCCCCGCCCCTGGCCCCGCCCGCGCACGCCCGTTTTCCGGGCCCCGCCCCGGGCCGCGCCCCTCCGCCGATGCCCCACTCGCAGGCTCCGCGCGGCGGGCCTGCCCTCAGGCCCCCGCGGGCTCCGCGCCGCCGCTCGGAGGCTCGCACCCTCCCGCCACTCGGGGACCAGCCTGCCGCGTCCCCTGGGCAACTATCTCCAGGGAGACCGGGCCCCGCCCCCGGCACCGACACCCGGTACGGAGCCCACCTGTGCGCGAGTCTGCGGGGTCCCAGTGCCCCCCGCCGCGCGCCCCACCCGGCGCGGGGCTTTGTCCGCCTGGGGCGATCCGCGATCCAGGGGTGTGGGGGCTGGGGGAGGCGGGAGCGTTCCCGGGCGGACCAGCCTCCTCTGGGGAGGCCGAGGCAGGGGGCCGCGCTCTGGTGTGGGCTGCTTCGTGCTCTCCTTTTCTCCTGATCTCATTGCATCCCTTTTGTGCCTCCGGGGGGCCGCGGATCGGGGTGCCCTGCTGTTGCCCTTGATGAGATGAGCAGGGCCCTCAGCCGTTCAGGACAAGCTGTTTACTTGTCAGGGACCCAGCAGTTGCTGCGCTCGTCCTCCCCTCCCCCTGCCCCCGATTCGGGACGGAGCATCCTGCGCTCTGTCCATTCCTAGCGTTACCTCCCAAGCTTTGCCCTTGAACCCGGAGGGCTAGAGGGCGGCAAACCCAGGTGCTGTGCGAGCCTGGCTGGCGCGAGGGCCCGAGCAGAAGACCCACCTTTCTTTCCGGGGAAGAGCCTCCTCCCTGGCCGCCCTCTTGTGAATTCTGTCCCAGCTCCTTATTTCCTGACCCTAATTCCCGAGGACGAATTCCTTCCTTGCCTTTTCTAATTCTTCCTTGTCTCGGCTCCATCATGCTTTCTGCTTTGTCTTTCCTCCTTTTGAAAGTGCTTTCTCTACAATCATGTCTCATTTTCCTGAGATTGAGCTGCTTGTTTTTTGTCCTCTTAACTCCATTGGTCATCAATGGAAATCGTTTCTTCCTTAGCTCTTGACGCTGACCTCCCGTTTCTCTGGTGGCAGTGCCTTGGGAAGTCCTTGCCATCCTTCCCTGGATGCTGAGTGAAGGGACCACCCAAGCCCAGGTTCCTGAGCTCCTGCATAGGGTCCAGGAGGATGTATATCCTTCCAGCAATTAGGCTGGCAGCAGGGAGAATTCCAGCTTGATCCTTGGGAAATGTGTTCTTGGAATGGATACCTTTTCCAACCGCTTCCTAGTACTGGACTTTTGTCACTTGGAGAAGCCCATGGTTTAGGTTTCCTGCTCCTCAGGAGGCCTCCTCAGCTGCACCTAGCGGATTCCAGGCAGTAGACTCCCTGCTGTGGAGGTAGCTGTGCCCAGGGTCTGGGGTTACGGGAAGGGGTGGGCCCTACTGTCCCTCCCGGGCTACAGTATTTCCAGGTCCGCTGATGCAGTGGGCGGCCCTCTCCCCTTACTCCTTTTATTTTCATCTCCAGGGGCTAGGATGGATCTTCCTTTATGATGCAATTTGGGTCTTGAATGGGAACCTCAAGTTCATGAACCTGCTTTTTGTAGTCATTGAATGGAACGTGAAGCCTGGCTTGGCTCAGATCACTTACTTTGCTTTCAAACACCAAACAAAACCAACAAACAACCCTAAAGATGATCTGAGTCATCTGTACGTGTATATGTTCCTGCTTTAGGCCCTGGAAATGCTCCTGTGGTTTGCTTCAGTACCACCAAAGGGAGCTGGGGGTGGCATTGCCACAGATGGGGGAAAAAAGCCCATCAAGCAGAATGTGATTGGTTTGCAAAAAGGGAACCTGGGTAAAACAGTCGCTTTGGAGCTAACATTCTATAAGAGAGGGCACAGGTTTCTGAGACCCTTTTAATTTATTTTTTTTTCCAGACAGAGAAGGAGCTCAGAGTCAAGCAAAGGCGGAATGACACTCAGATTCCAAAGCATCTTTAATCTGCCAGGCAGAGGGGCCTTTGCTGCTGGTCTTTCTTGGACCATTCCAGAGAGGTAGGTTGGGCGAAGGAGACAGGTGGTATGCTGGGAGAAGAAGAGATGTTATTTTGTAGACAGGTTAGACTTGGAATGTAATCCTCCAGCCTCCCTGACCACCCAGCCACAGGAGAGCCTATCGCTAGGACTGGAGCCGAAAGGAAGAGAATGACCCATAGTTGTGCTGGGAGCTGATGGGAGGGGAAATGAACTAGACCTCAGCCAGCTGCCCAAGAGAGGGCCGCTGCCGCCTGGGGAAGGAAGGAACAGCTCTGTTCTGAGGGGCCCTGGCGCCCATTATTAAGCTGCAACATTTGGTATTTGACTTGCTCCAGTCATGGTAGAGTTGGGCTGGCCTGTTTGAGGAGAGAAAAAGTAACACATTCTTCCGGAGGAAGTGGATTGAGTTTTTATAACTCGGTATTGCTTGTCAAGGAGTCCTTACTGGGGACATTCTGTTTCTCCAGAGAGTTGGCAGTAACCGTATCAGTAATAGGATGCTCCTTGGAGTTTCTAGAACACTAGCGTGGAAGATGAATGCAGTCCTTCCATTGTGAAATTGAAGAAGCCAAGGCCAGAGACAGACATGGTGTCCGGGGGTAGCTGGGTACGGTTAACAAGCTCCTAGGTTGGTAGACCAGCAGCCTCCTTTGGAAGCTCTGCGGGTACATATATATTCTGTGAGCACACAGCACATTTCTCCTTATCTAGACACTAGAACAACTGTCATTTCAAGATGGAAAGGGTTGATGGGTTATAGCATGGTGTCATCCTTGGAGGTCTCCCACACACACCTTAATCTCATTTATCTAGATCTTCGTTGGTACTTTCCAACCTTCTTTGGTAGAATAGATCTCTTTTAAAAGATCAAAATATTAAGCAGAATTTTAACCCGTTAAGCAGTTAAGAACAGAGCCACTACTGTGGCCAGAGACTGGTCCAGAAGGCCTGCCACTCAGCACCTGTCTCACTCCTGCCACCATCTGGAGGCCTCGGGTGTTTCCGTGGAACCCCAGGCCTCCCTGGATCATAAGCGAGAGCCATGGATTGCGTAGACCTATGTGGTGATTGGTTTCTTCCACACACCTGTTTACACTATCTTGTTTCTTGTTTCAGAAGATGCCTTTTAATAATAATTTTTAACCCTCGTGCTTTTTAATTTATATATTGAAAGGAAATGCCTATTTCCTTTAAAAAATTTACAACATACAAAAGAAAATGTTGCAAGCAAACCCTCTTGCCTTCCTGTAATCCCCTCTCCTGCCCCAGAGAGCGACTGTTTCTTTGTGGGACTATCCTCCCCTCAGCCCCTGGAATGTCTTCTTTGGAAACTTGATTTGTATTTATTGTTAAGTATTATTATTATTATGGACTTCCACATAAACCTAACTGATTGAATGTGTATGTTTATTTCTGCTCTGTTTCAAAAGCCCATTAAAATGAGAGTAAAGATATAAATCCTTAAAAAAAACCCCAAAAAACAAAAAAACCCCAGAAAAGTAGATGATAGAGGAGGAGGGATGTGAGCAAAACTTTTAAAAGATACGAAACAGGTGGGTGAAAGAGAAGCCAAGCAAAAAGAGTTGAGCGCCCCCTGCTACGGGGGAGCAAGCTGTGGTGTCCCCAGGACCAGCTCCGGAATGGGGCTGCGGAGTGTTCCCGACAACGGGGTAGGAGGTGGCTGGAAGCAGGAAGGTCGGTTGAAAGTGTGTGTTAGAGCAACAGACCCCCGCTCAGCCCCACCCCAGCACAGGATGCCTGGTTTCCTGAAGGCCAGCGTTGCACCAGAGCAGCTCAGGGCCAGCCTAGGGTGGAAGGAGGCTGTGAAGAGAGCAGCTGAGGGCAGGTGAGGGCTATGAGGACGCACTGTACTGAGAACAGGAGGTTGCAGTGAAAGTTTGCAACTGAATAGCAAGACCCTCTCTTGGTTGGCGCCCAGAATATGGCAGCCTGGCTTATATCCACTCTCCAGGCAGGACCTTGAAGAACTTCTTTCTGAGGAAACTGACCTCATGATAAAAAATGACCCTCAGATACTGACATCGTGGGGGACCCTGTTGAAAAGCTAAGTTGCTGTTTTGTCACTTCGCAGTGATACCTACCAGGCAACTAGCCCTACCTGTGCACAAACAGCTTTTAGTGCCGCTCTCCTAAATTTGAATGGGTAGCTGTGGATCATCCCATGTAGAACAAGGCCTCTAGCATGAAAGAGGAGGCCCAAACTAACAGAGAAAACGGGTTCAGAAGTCATAAACATGGCTGCTTAAAACAAGACAGTAAACATCAAACAATAATAAGCCCTTGGATATTAAAACTATGATAGTAATAGTGAACATTTCAATTGAATACAGCTGGAAGCTTGAAAAAGACATTTCTAGAAAGTAGAATAAAAAAGACTTGAGAGATGGAAAATGGGAAAGAAAAGATAAGATAAGAAAGTTAGAGAATCAGTTTGGGAGGCCCAATATCAACCAAACAGGAGCTCAAGAAAAAGACGGGTGAGAAATGGAGAAGGGGAAGTTATTGAAGAATCTAGTTCCTTCATTTAGTCTCTGAGTAGTACTCAGCACAATGAATAACAAATGAAACACTATGTGAAAATGAGAGATGTACTATGGGACATCATCGTGAACTTTCAAAACTCCAGAGATAGAGAAAAGTTACAAAAAGCCAACAAAGAGAAAAGAGGCCACATATAGAAGATCAGAACAGAATGGTGTGATGCTTTACAAAAGCAACACCAGGAGCTGCAGGACAAAGGAGCCACTCTTTCAAATTTCCGCGGGAAACTAATTCCCGACCCAGAATTCTGCCATTGTCATTCAAGCAAAATAATGGGATAAAGATATTTTTTTGACATGAATTTTCAAAACATTTACCCCCTCCTCCTTTGTATCCCTTTTTCAAGGAAGATACTGGAGGATGTGCTCCATTAAAACGAGAAAGTAAACCAAGAAAGGGGAACAAGTGGTACAATGTGTAATTGTTTCTTGCTCTCATTTGGCTCAGCTGCTAAATGACTTTTATATTTCAGCTATTCTCTCACTTCAAGTCTTGGGAGTAGGGAGATAAAGAAAACAAAAACCTACCCCACCGTGGGAACTGAAAAGTATTCACTTCCAAGCCTCCCCTGGAGCCAGGACCTGTGACCTGAGCTCCATTGACAAGATGCACCATTGACACAGAAGACAGGGATGACACACGGACTGTATCCATCCCTATGGTGGTGGCCGCAGTGGTGGGCTGCAAGGTCAAGGTCTTGGCACAGAAGTGGCAGGGGTACAAGCTGACACCCAATACCCTTGACAGTAACAGCAGTTTTATCACCAACGTGCATTTGCAGAGTCCAGCTAATATACTACTATTATATTACTTTGCTTGTCCAACTTTTTGTTTTTCCTGGAGTTGACAGTTGCCTCATCTTTTTATTTGCTTTGTTTTCAATGCACTGACCAGTAGTCCTTCCTCAAGCTCTCCCAACAGAACTATGAAATGCTTCACAATGCAGCACATGTGTCCTGATCTGTCAGCTCCTTCTCTGCTTAAATCAGGGGGAGTCAGCTTCTGTATCTACAACCAAGTACCCTGCCTGGTGGGGACAGTGGTGAAGGGAATTCCGTCTGATGGTGAAGAGGAGTCCCAGTATTACGGCTGTGCAGCTGGTCCAGAGAGCAGCCAGCCCAGTTTGGAGCAGGATGGCTGAGGGCCCCAGTGGGGAATATTTCCAGAAAAATGAAAAATGGAGCTGGTGGATTATCTGACATATTTGTTGTATAATGAGGCGAGTTTGGGGAGGAATGACACATTTGTACATAGAAAACAAAATTTAATATTAGGCAGCTATCAACAACAGGAATAGCAAAAAGTTGAAGACAGGAAACAATCATAGTATATTATGTCACTTAGCTTTGAACAATATTTACATAGTCATAATAATATAAGCACTGAAGTTTGATTAACAGAAAATTACCCCATAGCTATCTATATTTAGAAGATGGAGGAGAGGGTATGTG